TGAAGTCAGATTTTACTGAAAAGAGGGAGCAAATCTCTCTCTTATTATTAAATACATTATGAAAGTAGAACAACTTTTCTGTGATAAAAAATAGCATCTTTAAAATTACTTGTGAACCCAAACTGGCAGTACGTGATGGGAAGAGCAAAGTAAGCTCACCAAAGCATGGCCAACATAAAAGGGGCTGACCACTAAATAAACAACCTTTACTAAAACACAACCAACACCCAGACTATCAATAAAGTCACAAAACAAGCTAAAAAGCTATGAAAAATCCAATGGTGACAAAGTATTTTTAAAATAGAGAAACTCCTTCAGGCTCTCTCTCTCCATCTTAAGGAAAGTTTCGCTTTGAGCCAGTAACAGGAATGCATGTTTCAGAAAGAAAAGTCAGAAATTAACTCCAAAATGCATAAGACCTGTTGTTTCCTTTCATTCTCTCTCTCTTTCTTTCTTTCTCATCCTTATTTCTTCCAAGGAGACGTTCCTTCAGCAAATTTGGCTGGCCTAGCACTAGAAATGTGCTGGTCCCACACGCCTGGCCCCTTGGAGCAATGACTCAGCTAGTCCAAACAGAGCTGTTAATCATTCAACAAAGCGACTGAAAGATCCCTCGCACGTGGTGGAGTGATGGAGCCCTGAAATCCATTCGATCATCATCCAAAGAGAAGTCACAAAAAAGTACCCTGTGATGCATCCTGTAGCTGGCCATGCATGTCCTCTCGAATCCCAAGGTTCCATCCCCTCATGTACAGCAGCCCCACAGCAGATTATCTCATCAAATTCCCCCAAAATGTTTTCATGACACCTCTACGAAGGTCCATACTGCCCGAGGCAAGGTGGTAACAAGTCCCAGGCCACTCAAATACTTGCTTACCACCATAAAGACCCAAGGCTAGTTAGAAATGCCAGGAAAAGGATTGTTCTGCTGCTCATCGGTATACCAAATACTGCAAGAAGGGAGTCTTCAGCCTTGCAAACCTTTGCTAGATCAGTATTGTCTAAGCATGAGGACAGAAACAGAGCTCCAGGGCCAAAGCATTGCAAAAAAGAAATCCAGCTCTGTGATCCTCCCACCCAGTAGGCTCATCAGATTAGCCCCTGCAAAAAATGCATGCAGAAACGTCCGTGGGGAGCAAAGGCACACTACAACATGCCCATACGCATGAATATTCCTGGTTCTTAAGGGCTTGGTGGTGTACTTTGGATATTAAAAGGCAATATATAAAGTTTAACATTGGCCTAACTGGCCCATTTCAGATCCTGAAGGTGTTTAGATGACCCCTTTTAAATCAACAATGGCCACTTCAGAGGCGTGAGCACCTGGTAGGGAAGGCACAAAAGCTGAACGTGGCCTTAAAAAATCCCACTCCTGTTGCTTTAGCCAAGAAGTCCTGCAATTAAAGTATGGTAGATTTTTGAAAAGATACCACTATTTAAGTGAAGAACAAGGCATTGGAAATGCTTATCCTTGTTAGCACAATTTCAGTTGTTTCTCATTGCTTGGGCGGAGTTGTCCCCACAACTTGGCCAGAGCATCTGTAGAGATGGGGAATTTCAGACTCAAGAGCCTGCAAATACTGCAGGTTATATCCCAAATCTTTTATTACTTGTGCTCGCCTCAGCTCATCTGTCAGCTCCAAATCCTCGTTGGTAACAATGTGAAGCAAAAAAAACCCTAAATAAATGTCAAGAATGGTAGCAACCAGGAAAGATCTTAATGTAATTCAACAATAAAATGAATGTGTCCCCCTTATGTTAACAGCCCCTATAGCTGCTGTGCAATACAGAAGGACTTGAAGAGCATAGTTAGGCTGTTTCCCCAAAGATGGTGTCTGTCCTTAAAATGTGCCCATCCAGCTGTGGCTGGCTTGGCTCCTGGCGGAAATAAAACTGTGAGCCTCAGCGTGCAAGGACAGAGCATCCCTTGTGCAATCATAAATTCCCCAAATACAGAAAGCAAAGACAGCTAAGTTCTTCTTACCGGTAGCCTCCATATGACCAAAAGGGAGCTGAATCGAGGTTTAATTCAGCTCAGGCTGTGAAACCAAGAGGTGAGGACAAGCTGCAGTTCATTTCAATGTGCTTAACACCCTGACCTGCTAAACCTGGTCCTTTCTTTCTGGATAATGCTGGCTTACAGAGAGCCATTCCAGCCAGAGCACACTTTCCAGCGGATGCTGTGTGACCTGCTGGAGCTCTTCTCCACTTTGCTTTTTGCCCCGGCAGACACGGTGAACTTGCCCAGCATCCGAAGGGCCGTGCAGGCTGTGGGGTCTCATCTGAAGGACCAGGGCTTGAACCTGCTCATCAACAATGCGGGCATCAGCTCGCATGCCACACTGCACTCCCTGGATTCGCAGGAGATGCTCTCCGTGTTTGCCACCAATGTGGTCGGGCCACTCCAGGTTGCCAAGGTATGTGTGGACCTTTTGGGTTTCTCCTGACTGGAGGAGATGTTCTGCATGGCCCAGGTGACCTCAGCTGGGTGGCCTCTCACTCTCTTGAATGGGACAGACTGATGGGGGCAAGACTAGGACTGTGGGTCTCCTCTGCCCACCCAGAGAAGCAGGGAGGCAGCTCAGCTCAGCCCCAGTGTCTCCCATGCTTCGCACCTCCCCAGCTGGAGCTCCTGCCACCCTGGGCTGGCTGTGCCAGCTCACTGCTTCCCTGAGGAAGGGAAGGGCTGGAGCCTGGCCCCTCCTTGGGGCATCCTCCGCATCCCCTGTCCTTCTGTGTGTGGGTGTCTGTCCAGCTGCTCATCAGTGGTCTGTGACAGAGACCTCCAGGGCGGTCCTCAAGCTTGGGGCTTGTCACGTACTAACAGAGCATCGGTGTCTTTGTGCCAGGAATTTCTGCCGCTCCTGGAGAAGGCAGCAAAGGGCGCAGGGAAGCAGGGGCTGAGCTGCAGCAGGGCTGTGATCATCAACATCTCCACCAAACTGGGCTCCATTGGGCTGTGCCTTGGGGTGCAGGAGGCCCCCATGTACCCGTACCGTGCCAGCAAGGTAAGGTGCCAGGGGAAGTGCTGGGGATGCTCTGCTGTGCACCATGTCCATGGAGGGGAGCCCGTGGGAGCACCCACCTGCCCCAGGCCACCCACCCCCTGCCTGGTTCTCCCAAGCGTAAGCACGGAGACCGAGACAGCAGCACCCAGGACTGAGTCTTTCAGGCGGGTTGTGCCGATGCTTTACCCAGGGCAACGTCCCATTTCCCACCACCACAGCCATTTTCTGGCTGGAAACTGTCCCCCCCCCTGCCCACCCATGCCCCGAGTTGTTATGGCACAGTGGTGACTCTTCCAGGCTGCCCAGAACATGGTGACGAGGTGCATGGCTGTGGAGCTCCAAGACAAGGGGATCTTGTGCACGGCCATCCATCCTGGCTGGGTGAAGACTGACATGGGGACGGAGAAGGTACTGGGCTGTGCAGGGAAAGGTCAGAAGGAACCCCGCTGTACCCTCAGCTCTCAGGAAGGGCAGGGGCATTTGGGGCAGAGGATGTTGTGTGGTGCTTTGGGCTGCCAGGACCTGGGTGGGGCAGGCAGGGAGCAGGCAGATAGCCAGCACGGAAAGCAGGGGGAGTGGCAGTAAGGAAAAATACCCCTGTGAACACTATGGGTGCTGCTCCCCAGGCCATGCACACCTTGGTCTGCCCAAGCCCAGCTGCTTTCTGTGGCAATCACAGTCCACAGCAGTGATGCCTTGTTCTCTTCTGCAGGCGCCCCTGACAGTGGAGCACAGCGTGCAGGGCATCCTGACTGTGCTGGCCAGCCTCTCGCAAGACACCTCTGGAGCCTTCCTCGACTGGGAAGGGAACAGCCTGCCCTGGTGACCGACAAGCAGATGGCACTTCTTGCCCATGCCGCAGCCTCCCACTTGACGGCTTCTCCCTTTGTATGGCCACTCCGCATGCCCTCAGCCCATCCTGGGCTGTCAGGGAAGGGCATTGGAAGCAGCTTCTCTCCCCTTCCCCAATCCCACGCGCAGCCCTGCAGTCCCCCTGTACCCCTCACCTCTGTAAACATTGGCATCTGATGCCTCTCTGCTCTGTTTCCACACCCCCAGCCTCAACCCCCTGGCCGAGCCCAGCGCATGGTCCCTGTGCACGGCCCAAGCGCCATGCATCCGTCTGTCCTGCCTCCGACTGAGTGTCCTCCAACTGAGGGGAGACGCAGCTGGTCCCTGTGACCCCCATCCCCCCGGGCACCCCAGACTGAGCGTAGCCCTTGGGGTGTCCCGCAGCTGGGCAGAGGGAAAGCCAGCCCTGCAGGTGATGGGGATGTTCACCAGCCCTGCGGATGGTCAGAAGATCTCTCTCCTCCCAGGAGAGGGGCTCTGCCCTGGCTCTGGTGCCTCCTGGAGGGGACATCTCCAGCAGACAGTCACGGTGCCACAGGACCCGCAGGCTGTCACTTGTGGGGACGCCAGTGATAGCCGTGGGTTGGGCAGGCAGCTGTGGGCACTACCACGGACCGGGATAAAGAGTGGGGCGCCCAGGAAGGGGCTGCCCCCACAAGCTGGCAGCACAAAGCAGAGCCGGTGGCTCTCAGGCAGGGGTTTATTGAGGACATGGGGCGGGGGGAGCAGCAGCACAGGGCCCAGCTGCCTGGAGGCCGGGCCGGCATCTCACCAGGGCACGACCTTCCCTTCCCAGTCCAGGAAGGTGCCGGTGTCCTTCTCAGAGAGGGAGGAGAGCACCTTCAGCATCCCTCGCACACTGGCGTCCACTGTCACGGGGGGCTGTGGGGCAGAAGGAGATACACAGGCATGTGCCATAGGCCTGGCTAAGGGCTGCCCTGGGGCCTGGGCCACGGGAAGGAGCTGCTTTTGGGCAAGGGGAAAGCCACCAGCTCGGGGCAGAGGGGGCAAGCAGGGGCTCGAGGGGAAGCCTGGCTAAGGGCTGCCCTGGGGCCTGGGCCAGGGGAAGGAGCTGCTTTTGGGCAAGGAGAAAGCCACCAGCCCAGGGCAGAAGGGGCAAGCAAGGAGCCAAGGGGATAGGGGCATCCGGCACTCGGGGCCAGGGCAGTGTGGAGCTGCCCAGGCAGCAGTGGGGCAGGCAGGGAGGTCGTGGTCAGGGGCTCAGGGCAGCAAGTCCCTCCCATGGGAAATCAGTGTGGTGGGGCTGATGGACCCACCATGGCCCAAACTCCTACCATGTGTCCGACAGAGCTCCCCATATCGGTTTGCACCCAGCCAGGGTGCAGAGCAGCGCAGAGGACTCCGTGCTCCCGGTACCCCAGGGACTGGCACTTGGTCAGCATGTTCAGAGCAGCCTGCGGGGAGAGAGGGCAGGGATGGCGGTGGGAGGGGAAGGGGGGCTGCAAGGGGACACGTGCAGACCCCACTGGGGCCAGGCACGAGAATGTGCCATGAGAGGGACGCAGCGACTGGCAGAACCTTAGTCACAGCACAGAGAGTTGCAGGAAATGAGGGAGGAGACGTTGGAGGACTTGGGCTGTTCTTTGCTGAGAAAAGAAGGTTGGATCCATATCCAGCACAGCACATACCTTGCTGCAGCGGTATGAGACAAGAAGTGTCTGATTCCAGATCGAGGCTTTCTCAATGGAGCCAGCAGTGCTGGACATATTGATGATGGCTGCCTTGCTGCAGCTCAGTGCCGAGCTTGGGCTCCCCTGGGCAGACTTCTTCAGCAAGGGCAGGAACGCCTGTGAAGGAGAGGAGAGGAGATAGGGATGTGCACCTAGGTGGCACAGGGGAGAGGACAAACTACTTATGCTGTGGGCGACGTTGCGCATTATCTCCGTGAACAACCACCCTCCTCTTCCCACTGCCCCAGGCTGCCAGGGTCCAGCTCCTGAGCTCCAGCCCATGGCTTCACAGGCTCCTTGTCAATCAAGAGTCCACTAAAGTGGAGGCAGGACGCTCTCCCACCAGCCCTCTGTACCCCCAAGAACAAAGCAGCTCAGGTGAGGGTCTCACCTGACTCAGCAGCAGAGGTGCAACTGTGTTGGTGATGTAAGTCTGGGTCATGCTCTCCAGCGTCTCAGTATCAAGTGTGCTGTTTATCAGCATCCCAGCATTGTTGATGAGGAGGTTGAGCCCTGAGCCCCCAACCTGCTCCCCGACTCTAG